ATTTCCTGGTATCTTCTCTGAGGAAGGTGCAGCGAGGCTTCCATTTCTCTCAGGGTCAAGATGCTGGTACCCATTAAGCAGTAACTGAATGTGTTAGAGATCTTATGAAAATAATTTGCCACGATTTTTATTACTTGGGCATTGAAGCTTAGTTTTGGCTTGAACTGGAACTCTTCTCTTGGTATGACTAATTCCAATTCTTGACATTGGTGTTTGGCAAACTCTCCTTCTCATTCAGAAACGTACCATTCTAACTGTAGGACAGAGTGGTGTCACTCACTCCACGCTGATATAATTTATGTATGCGGTTTTTTTATGTCATTCTTCAGCTTTTCCCTAGTTTGTACATTCCTCATCACAGCACTGTTTGAAAGCAGTGGTGATCTAATAGGCATAGGACTAGGAGTCAGATTGATTTTTGTCAATATTCTGTGCCTCATACAGTTGTTTGCATGTAGTAGTTGCATTGTAAATAAGAGTGACTGATTTTAATGACTCCTGGGATTTGTTTTCTGGAAAATATCTGTTGTTGTCCTGAGCATCTTAGATTTTTCTGTGAAGTCCAAATCAATGAATATTAAATAGCAAATTTTATGGAGCTAAATAGATGTTCTGTTGGAACTGAGTTGTTAAGATTCTATCAAGTAGTGGAGAAGCAGCCCTAAATATTGGCAGGTTTCAGGCTTTAAAACACCTGTATCTTCTGGGGCTGGTTATTTGTTTGATTTTATCAATATAAATTATTAATTGTTCTAATAAGGAAAACAGAATGAAAGCCTGCATCATCAAATTTATTTCTCAAATTCATAAGGGTACAGAGCAACTTTTAGCTCTCAGTCTGGATTTATGATGATATATAGCTTAACAGCTAGGCATCTTATTTTTATAGTTAATTCCAAGCTCTGTTCTTTTCCTGATAACTTGCTGTATTTCTTTAAGGCAGGAACTATCATTTTATTCATTTTTGCCCAATTGTCCAGTATCTAATACCTGCTGTACGCCTCTAGTACATAGTAGTTTGTGCTTAGCAAATTCTAGTGTAGGTAATGATGTGTCAGGATTGGTATGATCAGTTGTTCTTTGCACATTTTAATCAAAGCTTGGTATTTAACACCTGTTTGGTTTTCTTGCAGAATGAGAAGACTTTGGGACATTCCATGAGTCATTCAAGCAATATTTCTAAGGTAGAGTGCACTAAACTATGTTATTTTAGTACCTTGGGGGTTTTGACCTGGCATGTATTCATACTTTTTTTCTTTTAAAGACACAAAGTTCTTGATACATTTCTGTAATCTGCCCTGGGACCATATGAGATGTGTGGAGGTTGCGTTTTTTTAGTGAGGCAGTTCTGAGTCTGTATTGGTGAAAGCAACTTATAGGAGAAAAGTTCATTTCTTCTAGCAAGTCATGTACTTTCTGGCAGAAGAAATCTCAATCACTAGAAAATCTGTCACCTCACTTAGGAATGCATTTGACTGAAGGTAACAAAAAGCCAACTGTGGTAACTTTTAAATAATTAGGGATTTATATGGTTCAGATGACAAGGTGTTTGGAGGTAGGTGGTCTGGGGCTAAGTTGCTCACAGATGTTGCCAGGGATACAGGCTCTCTCTTTCCTCTCTGTGCCACCTGCCTTAGTATGTTGCCATATGCCTGTTTGGCACAAGGTCTCATGATGGGAGCTGGACCTCCAGGCATCTTGACTGTGGCCTTTGCAGAAATAAGAGGAATTATCAAGAATGGAAGGGTCTGTCGGGGCCGGCCCGGTGGCGCCCTGGATAGTGCGCCGCTTGGGAAGTGTGGCGGCGCTCCCGCCCGAGGGTTCGGATCCCACATGCAGACCGGTTCCCGCTCACTGGCTGAGCGAGGCGCGGGAGCAGCGCCGAGGGTTGCAATCCCGTTGCCGG